GGGTAGGTGGGGGAAGGGGCCCTGAGCCAGGGCTTGTTTATGTAGCTGGGAAAGGGAGGGAGGGGAAAATAACATTCCTTTTACCCTCTTTTACACAAAGGGCATTTCTCCTGCACCTGCATTCTTATTAATCCTTATAAGCAAGAGAGAAGGGGAGAATCTGACAAAGAAATACTAAAGAATCTGCAACATCTGTATTAGACCCAGAAATACTGCCTACATATGCCTTTGTCCCCTAATACCACTCAGCCCATTAGCAGCTTACTGTTATACTTAACCCTAAAATATCCCAACACTCCCCCACTCTCTTCAAAGAAGGGCCCAGGCGCCCCTCCTTCTCGCACACTGAATGGCAGGGCACTCGGGCTGGAGGCCCTGGCTCCAGTTAGCCCGATACCTTTGTTGTGGAAAAATGGCACACGTGAGCAAAGGGGGGATGATAGCATCAGTGTTGCAACATTGGTATGCCCCCAATTTTTCCATAATGGCACAGCAGTACTGTAACTCCTGTCCTATCTGCCTAGCCCACAACAGTGGCAGACTGGTAAAAACCAAACCTGCTGGGCACCCCACCCCATGGGGCCCCTTTTTAAATACACCTCTACCCTGATATAACGCTGTCCTCGGGAGCCAAAAAAATCTTACCGTGTTATAGGTGAAACCGCGTTATATCGAACTTGCTTTGATCCGCCGGAGTGCACAGCCCTCCCTCCCCCCCCCCACCCGAGCACTGCTTTACCGCGTTATATCCAAATTCGTGTTATATCGGGTCACACTGTATCGGGGTAGAGATGTATTCAAATTAATTTTATCAATATGCAAAATGTTGTTCTTATAAATATGTTCTTGTTTGTGTTTGTATGTATTCTGGATCAATAAAGGCCTATCCTTGTGCCAAGGCCAATTCCCTTACAGTAGCAAAAAAAAAATTGTTAAGGGATTTTATCCCCCGGTTTGGCCTGTCTGCCTCTATTAATAGTAACCAAGGCAACCATTTCACAGACCAAATCATGCAACAAATTTGCAAGGTTCTCAATGTTACTCAACATCTGTATTGTGCCCAGCACCCCCAAAGTGTGGGGGCTGTGGAGCAAAAAAATGGGAAACTAAAAACCAAAATCTCCAAAATCTGTGTTAAAAACAACTTAAAGTGGCCTAATTCCCTTCCCCTTGCCCTCATGCACATAAAAAGCACCCCCTCATGGAAACATGGCCTATCCCCACATAAAATCCTTATGGACAGGCCCATAAGGATGCCAGTGTCCCCTCCCCTACTCCCTCACAAACTAAATTTGCAACTAAACAATAATACTGTTACGGCATACTGCAGAACACTAATTTGGTGCATTAGGTCTATTCACTCACAGGTTCAAAGTGCCCTGCCTAAACCAGCCAATGCACCGTGCCACCCACTGCAGCCTAAAAATTGGGTCTACATCAAGGTGCACCAAAAAAAAACCTTCCCTGAAGCCTCGCTGGAAAGGCCCTTACCAGGTCTTGTTGACCACTCACACAATGGTCAAATGCAAGAAACTCACCAAATAAATCCACGGTTCTCATTGTAAACAAACAACGCCGCCCTTGGACTCGGACGCTACAAAATTCCCGGCCTTAGAAAGGGACCCAAGCAACAGCAATGGTAACCCCTCTTCAGGCCCCCCAAAAACCCCAAATATAACCTCAAAAAACAAAAATAGACCTCAGCACCTGAACCCATCAGTCAGCAACAATTGGGGTCACTGCACCCCCCTCCACGCTAGTCAACTAAAACTTCAGCTCACTAACCGAAAAAGTAAAAAAACAAAAGGCCAAAATACTGCCTTTAAAAGCCCAATGAAAAGTCTAGCGCCCACTGGCACTCAGTTGGTATAACCAATCCTGCTTTAAAAATAAAAAAATCAGCCATGGCACAAAAGTGGCTCATGCCCTCTATCTGGTTCGTGTGTGTAAACATGCTTTTGCTGTTACTGTTAAACCTCGATAATACCGTTGTGTTTTTTTTAAATGCCCAAACCCACCAGCAATTCTACAGTAAAGCCCAAAGCTAAAAATTCCATAAGGTCATTAAACCCGAACCTGGGTTACGTGCCAGTAACCTCTCCCCAGTACAATGCTAAGCCATGGCCGTTCCAAAAAAAAAAAACCAACAACGCTTGGGCTCTTGTAACCCCTAAAGCTCAAAAAAAAACCCTTAAAAGTTGCCCCTGGTAAAAAAAATCCAAAGTATTATAAAGTGGCAAACAAATGTATATATATATATATATATATATATATATATATATATATATATATATATATATATATAGTATACTAGTA